AGTTTACAGAAGCTTGGCATAAGATTTTAGCAGGCTATAGATTTTAGTTTGATATACATGGTTGCCCAAGTAACAGTTGTTCTAAGATTTGAGCATACTAACAGCAATAACGTATGGATTCTTTGAAATTATTTGCCTCGCTAAAGTGTATAAAATGCATAACTATGTATCAGTGCAAATCTGAGAGTATACTGGCAAAAATGCCAGAGAAGTGTCAGGGAAATCCCTTGATACAAACATTAATTAGTATAGGAATAACCCACCGACATAAAGTACCTCAAGTAATAATGGGAAATGTACCCAAATAAAGGATAAGATGAGCTTATGGCAGAAATCTGCATATACAAAGATGGGCAAAACAGAATGTAAGTCCATGCAACAGATGGTATCTTCAGAGATTCTCTCTCTGAGGGTACCAATGATCTTTATGTATTTTGCTGTGTAAGAATCATTGCACAAAGGACTTTATTTGTGGACTGTACAACTCTTTTCTATTTTAGTATCATATTCCTTGTTCCTTGGTCAATAACGGATCTTTTACATAGAAGAAATTGGTGTCCTATGCTGATAGCACTGTGCTTCAACACATCGTAGTGTGTTTCTGATTCAGCCATAGCAAATCCAACGGTGAAAGCTAAACAGATAACCATGTTAGAAAACTTAATAGCAAGTACTTTGATATTTTCTATTCATAACTCAACCACATGGCAAACATGAACCAAGTGCACCCGTCCATGTAGACAAGAAAAGGTTTTTTTCTGATCTAATGGCATTTTACTCTTGCCCTGCACCAGAAACAGGTAACAGCACAAAGGAAAATGTAAATTCAGCCCTAGATATAGAGCTCCCATAGGAGTTCTGGAATGTAGGACAGGAAGATACCTCTTATATCCTTGATTCATGCACCTGAAATTGCAGGCAAGCACACATCATCATCCTTTTCTTCAGTAGATCAACATATTTTCAACTTCTAGCACCTCATTGTCAGAAATTATTCAGATACTGCATGTATCAATTTGTGTGGGCTTTCCAACCCGCCCCTCTCCAGGTTTGTCCTCCAGGAAGAACAGCTCTTTTTCTCTCCCAGGATGATCAACCACTTGATGTGTTGTGGACAGCAGTTATCCTCTCTGTCAGTCTTCCATTTTGCCCGGCTAAAACTCCTCTTCTCACCTCTCTTGGCACAAAGGCTCCATTCCCTGATAAGCCTGTCTTGTACCTGTTCCACTGAGACAAGCCCTCCTAAGTATGGGTGACGAGAACCACACACTGTATCTCAGAAGTGCTCGTCCCACTTTGTACAACACTGACACTTTAGTTTCATCAGAAACACCTTTTCAATGCGTGCACGCTTTGCCAACACCGTGAGGCTCTTTGGCAGCGCTTGCTCTGCACACTGACAGTCTCTATTGACTCGGGAAGCGACTGGGCTAATTCCTAAGAACATCCCTCCCTCCCTGTATGTCAAGAGCTATTCAATACAAAGATACCACCTATAGCTCAGGAACCTGCAGATCATTTCAGGGCGCATTTGTGAAGTATTTATTCATACTTATTTTTCTACTCTTCTGTGGGAATCTGGTCACTGTTGAGCCAAGATGCGAGGTTAGACCAACCCTAGTTTTGACCCAGCACAGCCATTCTTTTATTTTCACTGAATTTCACTGAATTTCACTGAATTTTAGAGTTGGAAGGGACCATAGGGATCATCTAGTCCAACTCCCCTCCTGAAGCAGGATTGCCCAGAGCTAGAGCATGTTACTCAGGACGGCATCCAGGCGGGTCTTGAAAATCTCCAAGGAAGGGGACTCCACACCCTCCCTGGGCAGCCTGTTCCAGGGCTCTGTCACCCTCACCGTGAAGAAATTTCTCCTCATATTTGAGTGGAACCTCTTATGTTCCAACTTGTGGCTGTTGCCCGTTTTCACTTGCTTTTTTTCACGTTGCATTGGTGATCTGCGTCATTATGGCTGACTATACATGCAGGTCTTTCTTAATGCTAACGAATTCAGACTGACAACATCCCAAACAATTATAGCAAACAGTTTTGCTTCTAGGTCCTGGAGGAACAAGTTTGACTTTTTACATTTCTTCTGTTGTTTCAGGCCTCAGGGTTATCTGATCCTTCATTCTCTTTATTGACAATTCTTTCCAGCTTTCTTCTGCTGCAAACAAATTCCTCTTGCTGTTACAGAAGATTTGTCCTAGTACCAAGATTTCATTCACTAGTACCGGTGATTTGACATTCACTAAAACACCTAGAAGTTTCCTTCTCCATTTTATACTTTGTTGTTTCTTTATCTGCTATGCAGCTCTTGTGTTCAACTTCATATTTCCCAGATAAATTAATCAAGACGCAGTATTGCATACGCTACTGAAGTTCAGTTTCATGAGATGTACCATCTACTGTTCCTCTGTAGAATGATATACCTCATAAAAAGTAGTATCTGTTACCCCGAAAGATTTTGTCTTGGTATCCCAAGTAATTCTGCATCTTCAGTGACTCTTCAAAACACATTCTGTGGCCTCACAGGTGGTTAAAATTAGCCAGAAGCTCTGTGGAGGGACTCAAAGGAATGCTGGGCATGACCTGGATACCAGTCATGATCCAGTCTACCTGTCCACGTGAGTAAATCCACATGGGAATTCTTCCTGCACCTCACCTCCTGGAACCTGTGCACAGGCCTCTGTTGCAGGTGGTGTAGCAGACTGCTGGCATCCACTCCTATGCTTTGGGGCTTCCTCCAGGGATTTCCTTGCTGAAGCTTCAGCATGGATTGGTGAAGAGATGGGTACACAGACATACGCACCACCAGCTTGCGGAAGAAATGCCTGAGGGACAGTCTTCCTTTTTGTAGCTCTACCAGTAATGCAGCTCACCTGGGACTTCTCTGTGATCCCAGCCCAACACATGGTGATGTTGTTTTCTCAGTCACGTAGCAGCTCATCCTGTCTGGTTTATACGGTAACAGACATCATACCTGTTGCCTAGAACTACTTGTACAATGGAAATCACATAAGAAAGAAAACAGCAAAACTGTTGGTACACATGGTACACATGGATACACAGTGCTTTTTTCTTCCTCCCCAAATCCTTGCCTGAATTTTCACCTGGAAGCAGTTTGGCTGTATGAGTGACTGCTCTTCTCAACCCTTCACATGGGAGTTTGCTCAGCCTGAAATATTGCTGTCAAAAAGACACTTGCTCTTCACGTTTAAAAAAAAAATAGCACATCACCACCAACCTTCACACATCCCACATGTGAACTGGCACAAATAGAGTAATGTTTCCTTTCCACAGCCTACAGGATGCCTATGGTTTTGCAGTGAGAGAAGCCAACTCCCAGAGCTACAAGATGAGGGTTAAAAATAGCCCATTAAGGATTAATTTCAGGATTTTTAAACATAGCTAATTAATATGCATAGGAAAGCCACATGGTCTCCGGGAAGGAGCACACACAATCACAGAGCCTACAAGGGAAGGGGGGGGTGTGTGTGTGACATGCAGGCAGAGTGTCAGAAGAAAAATAAAAGAGGATATTGGCTATATATCCTCAGAGAGAGGACATGCAAAGAGTGCTTCAGAAGAGGTAAAAGCAGAGGTGTGAAACTGTTTCTGTTGAAGAGGCAGAGACAACGCAGGGCAACCACAAAGGACAGGATCCTGTTTGAAGAGCAGGGAGGACAGGAATGAAGCCTTTGGTATTGACCAAAATGGACAATGGACAAAGAGCTTGATGGTACTACAGCAGGAGGCAAGGTCTGGTGCGTGAGGGCTCAGCGGCTGAGGTGGTGTGACACATGGACAGCCACGACAAACATGCTTTGAGGCAAGCAGTGAATTTCAATGAGGTGGCCTAAGGGCTGAGCACACCACAGGAAGATCAAGTGGTGCAAAAGACAGCTTTGGCAGTGGCACTGCAGTAGGAAGATGGGTGCATCATAGAATGGTTAGAGTTGGAAGGCACCTTGAAGATCGCCGAGTTCCAACCTCCACCTCCCACGAGACCAGGTGAATACGCAGCACTTCTGGGGAACACCAGGGAGCAACAGCTGAATGCTTAACTGGATCTCAAGATGGATGGCACATCAGGACAGCAGGCGTGTACCTGATGTCATGTGTTGCACTGAATTAAGGCACTTTGGAAGCAATTTTCTCTTATGAAGCAATATTGAAGGAGGTCACCGGGTCTTGAGGCAGAAGCACCCCTAGGTGCACTGAAACAGGACGCACAGGATGGCAGTCATGGCACACCATGAAAACAAGGTACCACGTATGAGCAATATGGGTGATGTCAGACAGCAAGGATTATCTACAGTTAATTACCAGAAAGCAAATCTGGTTATTCACCTGCTGTCCTGCAAAAAAGAGAGCTATAGCAGCAATTCCAGTAAATTCAAAGGTGCAGGGAGAAAACAGGCTCACTCGAAGCAATTTCCTCATACCAATTTTCCTGTGAACAACATTTAAGCAATTACAAACGTCTTCCTTTTCACTGAGGACAGAGCAATGGGTGGACAGACTTAATTGCCCAATTCACCAGCTATTTGGCATCAAGAAAACCTGGGGTTTTAACCTGGTCTTTTAAGAAAATTAAGTTTATTTAGTAGCACTGCTTGTCTGCCTGCCCCCTTTAGCCTCATCACTAGGAATCTTTGACCATTTTAGCCACTTTCACACAAAGTTAACAAAAGGGTAGAAATTTTAAAATTCTGTGAGGTTTGGTGGCTTTCACAACGGCAGATAGAAACAGCCTCAAACTGCTGTACATTTAGCTGCATCTTGAGAAAAATTTGAGCGCTACATCGACCTGTTAAATCAAGCAAGGGATTTAATTTTACAATAGGGGGTCTTGATACATGTTTAAGTTGACAAAATCCCTTGTAAAGGTGCAGGGGAAAGAAAAGCTGCAGCACCACCAAACCTAAGAAACATGATCAGCGTCACAGACCAATCCTACAGGAGGTTCCTACTGGAGGCAAAGGACACAAAATACACCTTTTTCACTTAAAGACATTCTTTATTCAATCTTTTTTATATACAATATTATTTTTTAATCTGTAAAAAGTACATATGCAGGATTCCAGGTCAGAGGCAGAAGGTTTCCACATCAGAAGATAAGACTTTTGCCCTTTTATTATTTTGGAGGAAAAATAATCTGTGAATTTTAGACAAAGCAAGAATAAAGGCAGAATGCAAATCCAACTCCCACCAAGCGATTAGGATTAAAAAGGCAACAATTCACCGTAACAAGTCAGGCTGTCTCCTTCCACTTCGGTGGTTCCCCACTTTTCTGGGCAGTTACAGAAGGAGCTGTAGTAGTTTGTTAGAAGGAGCTGACAGCCGGAGCAGGTAGTGCTTATCATCTCTGCTACAGTTGTATGCACATAACTTGCAATAGAGCTTGGGTTTCCTCTTTGTATGGCAACCCAAACTCTTGAGTCAAAGACTGTTTCTCAAAATTCAAGGAGCGAAAGAGGGATGTCTTATCAGGGTGAACAGATCTCCAAAATACGGTGCGGATCAAGAGCTTGCTTTCGCTTTTCTCTATTAACAAGAAGTCTCTTTCTTATTTGTCCCCTTAAAAACCTGAACTAGACTTATTAATGTATGTAACAGGCTCAATTTGCTAAAAGCCTGTTACTACAGCCCTGAGATGTAAATTGTCTCACCATTTTCTGTGGGTGCCAGGTTACTTTGTTGATCCTTTCAATGTTAGTGCTATTAACCACTTCTCCATTCAAACTAGGGAGAGTGATACGATGAAGGTTTGTAATATCATTTCCTGAGGGACAGGAAGAGGGGATCATAAAAGACAGCATGATAGGGCTTTGCTTAGCTGTAAACCAGCACAGAGCAGACCTTTAACCTTAAAGGATGGTATTATAGGGAATATGTAATTATTTTCACTTTTTAGAACCTGGACACTCAACATTCAGATCTTGTAAAATACTGAGTGGGAATATGTCGGTGATTGGGAGGTAGAAGACAGGGATGCACAAATTTGAGCAGGGAGCTAAAGAAGCCTCAGAGTTGTGACTGGCACAGGGAACTACCTGCTTTTCCCTTTACTCAGCATACTTACTATTTTCCATACTTTCCTTAAGCATATAGTTTTAAGGACCATATTATGCAGAAAAATGAATACCCAAAGTATCACTCAGGATTTGTTTTTCTTTAGAGGACAAAGCTAAGAAGTTGACTTCTTGACTGCAGGACACACAGAGCTGCAGAATGGTCAACGGATGCTACAGAAATCTGGCTTCTTTGAAAAGTCAGGCTGTTAAGTTAGGAAAAAAAAAAAAGTCCTGCTAGCAGATCCGGACCAACAGGCAAGCTTGAGGCTTGGATTAGGAAAAGAACTGAATATCCTTGTTTTGACTTCATGCAAACAGGAAATAGACAATTCTGAGATTTCCAGGCTCTTGCCCAAATCCAATGCACCAAAAAACCATGATTTTCTGTTCATTTCATCCTGTAAGAGGAGAGGGTATTGTAGAAATTGATAAAATCGGACACCTACCTAAAGAAAACGGGGATAGTTTTGTTAGAGAATACAGTGCAAGACTCGGAAACAACTAGGACTAAAAAGTCATTTTGTGCTTTAAATTTACACTCTATCTTCATGAAAGTATGTCAGACAGCAGCAACAGAATGAAAATGGAAATATTCTACTGTACCTTAGGGAAAAGAGTCTGAACTTTGGGTTGCACGTAACGTCATTCTGCAGACCAGAACCTACTTCTCTGCGAAGTGCTCAGAATGAGGGCACATTATTTCAGTCAGAAGTTTCAATACCCATGGTGCTTGGTTATTAAGCACCTACCTTTCTCAGAACCCATTACCTCCAAACTCAGCTTGCTCTAAGAAATCTCAGGATGGAGAGATTCATGAGTGACACAGCAATTAGTCCATAAAATGCATTCTTTTTGATAGACTATGCACATCGGTAGCTTCTGGAGGAAAAGGAGTTTGCATTTTTAAGAGTGATAGTGTAGAAACTGACAGCCAGTGGGGTAACTGGAAAACAAGAAACAAGTGTCCTTTATTTGGTACCTGCTGCTTGTCTACACAAAGAAGAAACAGCAATACTGTACATCTGCTTTGAGAAAAATACCATCCCCTAACACGAAATGGCGTAGGTCCTCAATTCAAGCATTCTCGTGGCAGTGAGTTAACCCATTGGGATTCGTGGAGGAATTAATCTGAAGGGCTGCTCGTTAATTCACAAGAGGGGGGTGGAAGAGCAGCAAACAATGGTAAGAAGTTTGCCGTTTCTGAGACTCCAGAATTCTGTCCTTGACCGTTCTCTGAACAGACTGGCAGCCATTCTACATCTGCATTTATCAGGAGGTGTATGGGGATGAGTGTATGGGGCCGAAAATGTCTTTTTTCCCCTTTTCTTTTTCCTTTTTTAAATTTATTTTTTATAAGCAGAAGGGTCTGCTTTTCCTCTTTCTCCTTTGTACCCAGAGAGATTTAGGAGAACAAGGCAATCAAGTACAGTCTTAAACTAATAACAGTTCTCATAGGATGGAAAAAACTCAATCTGAAAACACAAGATATCTGAACTTTGGAAAATGAAAAATGACTAGCTCTTCAGTAAGTCACTGAATACTAATTAGAAAAATAAATTAATGTGGGATCGGTAAGAAGAATACATTTATTAAGGTACTTTTCGTTTTAAATAAACAATTACTTGAATTAGTATTATTTACTATACCAATTACTTTATCAGTTCTCAAATTATATTTAAGATACTGCTGCAAATTACAGTAACTAGGCAACTGCTATTAAGGTAAAAACATTGAGATTGGAGATTTTTCCAAGCTCTATGTCTTTCTTCCCTTGAACTGAAGTAACTGTCTTTTTTCTGACATCACATGATGATGATTTCTGTGTCTAAGTGTCAAGGATGAGTGAAGAAAAATTCTATGGGGGAAATTCTACTATAATGTACATTCAGATAAATTATAATATGATGAAGACATAAGCTTTTATATATAAAACTTCTTATATATAAAACTTCATATATAAATATTTTTGAGGGGGAGAAATAGCACTCCCTCCCTTTAGATCTGATGCTGTACTGCTGTAGCTCACTGACGAGTTCATCCACTCACTTTAGTATGAAAACACAATCAAGATTATTTTTTTTTTGAAGACTCAACCTGTGCACTAATTAGGAGGAAAAGGAGCTCCTCACAGCTCTTTTTCTGCAAAGGGGCCAGTCACCATGGCAAAAGGACTTGAGAGCTATAAAGGGGGCTACAAAGAACAATTGGAGCTTTAAGGATTCTGGAACAACAGTTTAAAAAAAAAGATTTAAATACACTTGAAAAGACAAAACTCTTTAGTAAGTAAGTGAAGACTGAGACTCCATTTAAGTGATGCTGTCCTGCCCAGCCCAGGAGTACTCATGGGAAAAAAACCATCCAGGTACCAGCATCTCATTTCTCATAAACTGATGGAAAAAGGTACTCTTCAGTTTCTTTTTCCACTCAGTGTATGTAAGAAATGTTACGTTGTTTCCAAAGAAAATCACGTTGGCTTTGTACTGGAGCACCAAGAAGAAAAGGAGTTTTGTAAACTAAATCAAAGGCAGTTTGGGGCTTCTCATACACATACCTGCAAAGAAGGGCCCATGAATAGTATCCAAACAATGAAATTTAACTTTTAGGAAAAAATTTAATTGTGTGGAAAAATACAAAGCAACAAACTCTGCTTAGCTCCAGGGGAGCATTTTTAAGTGCCATATACTCTATCCTGCTACATAAATCATGAGAGACTGTCTTTCTCATGTTGTCATCTCTGTTTATTTAGCTAAAAGAACCAGGACTAATAAGAGAATTTTTTTTCCACGTGACAGGATTTGTGAGGAAGGGAAACTTAGGCTTCTTCCTACCCCTGCGATATGCTCCACGCTCTGTGACTGCAGCTTGCCAAATGAACTAAGCCCACGTTGCTGACAGTGAACTACAAACCAAATGCTTACTAAATGTTTTTTTCTGGATGTAAGCGTACAGCACAGATCTTTCAGAATTCTTTTGAAAAGAGGAACTGAGGAGGCGATATTTTTTTATAGTTTGGAGTTGAGTTTTAATGGCTTAGAGGCCCCTGAGAATGGCTGCCAGTCTGGACAAACAGATGCTCCTTAGAAAACTCAGACAGGTACAGAAAAAAATCCAAATCCTGATGCTGCTGGTGCAGTGATGTTGCTTTTTTTTGTCGCTTTGTTCATGCCATCATCAAACACAAAAAAAAAGAAAAATAAAATCTAGGTATTTGGAACCCACCCGATCTGAAGAGGTGACTGGTCTGCTGTTCTTCGCAACAGCCAACAGCAGCAAGGTCCTCTCCCTGGATGGGAAAGCCTCTTCTTCCTCACGCTGCTGTGTTCATATTAAACAGTAGATTCCATGTCTTGCTAGGGTTCAAAGCGCATGAAGTCTCTGTCCTGCAAATACCACACTAATGTGTTTTGGTCATGTATAAAACAGAACTTCTTTCAGTTTTAACTTATCTATATGTTGAAGAGCTTTGTTTCTCACGCCAGTATTTGCTTGACTCAGAAGTCTAGTTTTATCAAGTGTCCGTCTCCTCTCCTGCTTAAAAGTCTCAAGTGGTCCATGTAAACAAATCAGAGCTGAAAACAGTCTCTTTTCCTCTTCATAGAGCTGTTTTTATCGATATGCAGGATTTCCTGACAGTGTGGTGTTGGCTAAATGTAAAACAGGCAGAGGATGAGCTTCTGTGTTAAAAACCCAGTTGTCTAATGGTAGAAGGTCATCATTGGAGAAAAGCAGATACAAATACCTGGATATCAAGACAGAGAGGAAAAATGGTGGGTATTAAAACAGAGCAACAGAGAGGAAGGGGCAACACAGCAGCTTCAGGCCCCCCAGTCAGCAGCTAAAGTTATAAACAAATTACTTGCTTTCAGTCTTTATATAGCATCCACACATCCTGCCCTATTATGATGATCTGAAAAGTCATTTTTATCATATCAAGCCCTTCAATGAAATATTGTTATAAAGACAGCATTTTAATCTCTCCAAGTAACGTTTTTCAAGACTCCTTTCAAAGACCAGCAACATAAAACAAACATCCAGACACCGAGCACAAGGATTTTGGGGACAGGGGAGCAGAGAAGTTGGAAAAAAAATCTTCTTATCAGACTAAACCTGCTTGGAAATGACTAATCCTCTTTAATCCAAATGAAAGATTTTGAGGAAGCACAAGAGAAGCTACTAAGCCATGCCAGATACCTGACTAGTCATCACCATGTTGGAAGGTGTTTCGGCTTCTTGAGGGAAGAAATATATTGTGCAGAAGGGATTCATAAACGTTGTATATTGTAAAGCAATGCAGAGCAAATGAAGCATGTAACGAAGTTAAGGTTTCTGGACATACATGGAAGAAGAGCATTACTTGGTTCTTTTTTCTTACTACACACTTTTGAACATGGCTGTGCTATACTCTGTAGGAGATATTGGTGGTAGGGATCATTGTCAAGGCTTCCAAACTCCATTGCTAAAATTCAAAAGGCATTTCCCTTCTTCCAGAAAGCCTGACTGTGCAAGTGCAAGCATAAAGGACAGGACAAGGGGTAACAGTTACAAACTGGAATACTGGAAATTCCACCTCAACATGAGGAAAAACTTCTTTACTTTGAGAGTGCCAGAGCACTGGAACAAGCTGTGCAGAGAGGTTGTGGAGTCTCCTTCTCTGGAGATATTCAAACCCCACCTAGATGTGTTCCTGTCCAGCCTGTTTCAGGCACTACATAAATCATGAGAGACTGTCTTTCTCATGTTGTCATCTCTGTTTATTTAGCTAAAAGAACCAGGACTAATAAGAGAATTTTTTTTCCACGTGACAGGATTTGTGAGGAAGGGAAACTTAGGCTTCTTCCTACCCCTGCGATATGCTCCACGCTCTGTGACTGCAGCTTGCCAAATGAACTAAGCCCACGTTGCTGACAGTGAACTACAAACCAAATGCTTACTAAATGTTTTTTTCTGGATGTAAGCGTACAGCACAGATCTTTCAGAATTCTTTTGAAAAGAGGAACTGAGGAGGCGATATTTTTTTATAGTTTGGAGTTGAGTTTTAATGGCTTAGAGGCCCCTGAGAATGGCTGCCAGTCTGGACAAACAGATGCTCCTTAGAAAACTCAGACAGGTACAGAAAAAAATCCAAATCCTGATGCTGCTGGTGCAGTGATGTTGCTTTTTTTTGTCGCTTTGTTCATGCCATCATCAAACACAAAAAAAAAGAAAAATAAAATCTAGGTATTTGGAACCCACCCGATCTGAAGAGGTGACTGGTCTGCTGTTCTTCGCAACAGCCAACAGCAGCAAGGTCCTCTCCCTGGATGGGAAAGCCTCTTCTTCCTCACGCTGCTGTGTTCATATTAAACAGTAGATTCCATGTCTTGCTAGGGTTCAAAGCGCATGAAGTCTCTGTCCTGCAAATACCACACTAATGTGTTTTGGTCATGTATAAAACAGAACTTCTTTCAGTTTTAACTTATCTATATGTTGAAGAGCTTTGTTTCTCACGCCAGTATTTGCTTGACTCAGAAGTCTAGTTTTATCAAGTGTCCGTCTCCTCTCCTGCTTAAAAGTCTCAAGTGGTCCATGTAAACAAATCAGAGCTGAAAACAGTCTCTTTTCCTCTTCATAGAGCTGTTTTTATCGATATGCAGGATTTCCTGACAGTGTGGTGTTGGCTAAATGTAAAACAGGCAGAGGATGAGCTTCTGTGTTAAAAACCCAGTTGTCTAATGGTAGAAGGTCATCATTGGAGAAAAGCAGATACAAATACCTGGATATCAAGACAGAGAGGAAAAATGGTGGGTATTAAAACAGAGCAACAGAGAGGAAGGGGCAACACAGCAGCTTCAGGCCCCCCAGTCAGCAGCTAAAGTTATAAACAAATTACTTGCTTTCAGTCTTTATATAGCATCCACACATCCTGCCCTATTATGATGATCTGAAAAGTCATTTTTATCATATCAAGCCCTTCAATGAAATATTGTTATAAAGACAGCATTTTAATCTCTCCAAGTAACGTTTTTCAAGACTCCTTTCAAAGACCAGCAACATAAAACAAACATCCAGACACCGAGCACAAGGATTTTGGGGACAGGGGAGCAGAGAAGTTGGAAAAAAAATCTTCTTATCAGACTAAACCTGCTTGGAAATGACTAATCCTCTTTAATCCAAATGAAAGATTTTGAGGAAGCACAAGAGAAGCTACTAAGCCATGCCAGATACCTGACTAGTCATCACCATGTTGGAAGGTGTTTCGGCTTCTTGAGGGAAGAAATATATTGTGCAGAAGGGATTCATAAACGTTGTATATTGTAAAGCAATGCAGAGCAAATGAAGCATGTAACGAAGTTAAGGTTTCTGGACATACATGGAAGAAGAGCATTACTTGGTTCTTTTTTCTTACTACACACTTTTGAACATGGCTGTGCTATACTCTGTAGGAGATATTGGTGGTAGGGATCATTGTCAAGGCTTCCAAACTCCATTGCTAAAATTCAAAAGGCATTTCCCTTCTTCCAGAAAGCCTGACTGTGCAAGTGCAAGCATAAAGGACAGGACAAGGGGTAACAGTTACAAACTGGAATACTGGAAATTCCACCTCAACATGAGGAAAAACTTCTTTACTTTGAGAGTGCCAGAGCACTGGAACAAGCTGTGCAGAGAGGTTGTGGAGTCTCCTTCTCTGGAGATATTCAAACCCCACCTAGATGTGTTCCTGTCCAGCCTGTTTCAGGCAAACCTGCTTTGGCAGGGTGGTTGGACTAGAAGATCTCCAGAGGTCCCTTCCAACCCCCACCATTCTGTGATTCTGTGATAACATCATGGGTGTACAGGACCTCTCAGCTTCTCCTTCAGCCTGGTTTCTTGTCATCCAGAAAATGACAGGTCTTGCAGCACGTGACAAGGAAGGGGCATCATTCCTGGTGTTGGTCTCTGTCACATCCAGACTGCAGACACACATTGTTCTGCTGAGGCTGCTGTTACTTTGCTCTCTCTCAGACTACTGTCTACAGCTGTGTGCCATGGCCTGATCATCCCATTGCCTTTATTTGCTGGTTGTATCCACAGCACAAACCAGTCAGTGAAACTCTGCTTTTTCTTCACTACCTCACCAATTAACTGTTTAAAGACATAAAATCATTGCTGAGATGATTCAGTTTTGTCCTGCAAGTTTAGTCTCTTCCTCTACATTTTTATCTTTAAAGCATCATGTCTTTCCTCCTTAATCCTTCCTTGCTTTCTCTCTCTGCAGCTCTCCAAACTTTTTCACCACCGCAGCAATGTTTCATAGAATCACAGAATCACAGAATCTTCTAGGTTGGAAGGGACCTTAAAGATCATCTTGTCCAACCGTGAACCTAACTGACAAAAATAGACACCCACACAACAAACAAGGAGCATCATCACTAAACCATACCTCCCAGCACTACATCAACCCGTCTTTTGAACACCTCCAGGGATGGTGCCTCAACCACCTCCCTGGGCAGCCCATTCCAATGCCTGATAACCCTTTCAGTGAAAAAATTTTTCCTAATATCCAGCCTGAACCTCCCCTGGCGCAACTTGAGGCCATTTCCTCTTGTCCTTCATCTTACTCAAATTCACCTTCCTCATTTGATTCAAGCTTTTCCTTTGGATAACTTAAGCTACCTATTTCTACGTCTTGGTCCTTCCCACTCAACAACTATCTCCATAGTGCCCAAAAACTCACAATTTGGCAAGGATCTTTGATGCGCCAAAGTATCTGAGCAGCAACAACGCATGTTTGGGAGATGTATACATTTTGAATTTGAGGGGAATAAAGTTGCAGAAGTTATCATCAATAGCAGAGAAGATCACAGCAGGCATTCCATTACACACATTTTACGTCTCTCTTCTGAGGGACATCTTCATTTTTCTCATGGCATAACACCCAACTATTCTGTCTTTATTTTTATAGCTATTTGAGCTATCCTGATCTTATGTTGTTTTATTTCAAGGTGATCCCAGTTCCTGGTTTGGCTATGCTGATAGCATCTAAGTCAAATATCTAATATCCAGCTTTCCAGTAAAACTCCGTTTTGTCTCAAAAGTGGGAAATGATCCAAACCAAAAGCCAATAAGCCTTTCTCAGTTCCTCCCCAGAAGTGCCTTCTTTTGCAATGCTTGCACTATAGTACATCCAGTTATTGAGTGATACATCAGTGAATTTTTGGATCTCTTTGTGATTATTTAAGATGCAGACAGGATTCTGGCAATACTTCAAAGGTCAGCCTTGTCACCACAGAAGTCCCTTAGGAACAGATTTCATTCTCTGATTTGGCTTTTATAGGCAGATCAATCATCCTAAGATCACCTCCAGGGGAGGTATTGCTTCTCTGACCGGACCTGCTTGAAACTGCACCCTCTCTCTTTGGTATTATAGCTTTTAGGCTCCAGAAAATGAACTCAAAGGAGTGAAATAAAACAGAGGAGGTAGCAGTGGCTGACTTTATTTTTATAATCATAACATGGGGAAACAAAGCATTGTGGCTATGTAGAGGAAGATGGTAAGGAGCCAGCAGAAAGACAGAATAGCCAGATTCCCTTTATATGTGATGAACTCAGAGCCCCTTCTTGCCAATGAAACACTTTGTGGTGCCTGAAGTAGGCACCAGTACTGCCACTTTGAGGACCTGCTTTCTCTCTGCTGCATTTTGAGCTCCCAATACCCAAAATCAATTTTCACATACATCAGCTGCAGCTAAAGCCTGAAAATCTGATACTGTCAATACTGTAAACTCTGCTGCTGTATAGAAACCCTGTTTATTCTGCAAAGACTGCATGCCATGCTAGACTGCCAAATGATTACAATTGTTTTCTCATCAAATCACTGGGTTGTAAAGACAGAAAGGGCACCTTAATGAGTCTTCGTTGCTGACAGGTTTGTGCAACAACATATGTATCATCCCTTCCATCACATGTTGGCAGAAAGTGGCTATATAACCAGAGACAACAACTAAGTCTCCTAACAGCAGCTCTGGTCTCATTCACATTACCATAAGTGGCTTCTGTCTATGAATTTAACCAAGTAAAACATTCTCCAAACTGCTAGACAGGAGGGAAGAAAACAGGGGTAAGGAATATAGCCAACTTGGACACTTTTTTCTTCCAAAAGTATACAATACAGAAGATTTCAGGGAGATAACCCATGCAGGAATCTTGGCAGATTTCAATGCCAGAACTGTATTACCAAATTTGCTGCTGTAACTTGAGTATCAAGAAAACCACCACACAACAGAAGACACTGCTTCACAGGCATAACCCCAGAGCGATCACAACCGTGTGGTAAGAGTGCTCTTGATACCTGGTTTGTGCCGATGATGAAGGAGATAAGTAACCATGACACTAGCTCAGTTTTAAAAATGGATGTCTTAATAAAATCTCCATAACATATTCCAATCTTTATACTAGTTTTTCATATTGTTATGGCATATTTCAGTATAGCACTTTTTGTTATTAATTTAAAAGAAACATGGGGGAAGACCAGTGACTTTGAGCATTTTACCTTGAACCAAACAGGCAACAGAGTGCATTAGCTTCTGCAGGATGGACTACAGGTGTCCTACTGATTTCACTGAACACATATCTAAGTATGTAAGAGATTATAAAATACGCCTGATATTCTTGCTCACAACAAAAAGCATTCTAGAAAAATATGCTGTGGGATAAATACAGAAAAATCATCCAAGGCCATGAAGGACTTTTGTTCCAAGCGTTTACTCCCTTCCAGTAACATACACAGGAGAAACAAGTTCTACAATATCACAGCATCACACATAGAATCATAGAATCATAGAATGGTTTGGGTTGGAAGGGACCTCAAAGATCATCTAGTTCCAACCCCCCTGCCCTGGGCAGGGACACCTCCCACCAGACCAGGTTGCTCAAGGCCACATCCAGCCTGGCCTTGAACACCTCCAGGGATGGTGCAGCCACAACTTCCCTGGGCAACCTGTTCCAGTGTCTCACCACCCTCATAGTAAAAAATTTCTTCCTGAGATCTAATCTGAATCTTTTTTCTTCCAATTTAAAACCGTTTCCCCTTGTCCTATCATTACCTTAAGACATGTCAAGTCAGTATACCTTAAAAAAAAAGTCTTTTGCAAAGGGAATTTCTTAAAAAGAGATAACCCCTCCTCTGCTATGATGCCAGAAATCAATTAGAAGTCTTAAAACCTAAAGCTCTCTAAGCATAAGCTTCTTGTATGGGAAATTCCACTTGTCTTTTCTGCTGGTAAAACGGGCTCATCTGAGACCTTAAGGCTGGGAAAAAAGAAACTCCAAACCATAAAACCACCCTGACAAGACAACAGATTATTTGCTGTGTTGTTCTAGAATGTAGATGCTAGCTTTTACAGGAAGATGCAAGAGTGAAGAGAACTTACTTCAAAGTTTCAGCAAGGAAAAAGCTCTGCTGTACGTCATCGTAAGTAGGAGACGAGGAATAGACATCCTTGACACCAGAAAAGCCACCGCTGACTCGGCAATACTTGTCAATTGCCTGCAAAGAGGAAGGGAAAAGAAAAGGAGAATTTAATTGTAGAGCAATATTTGGAAACATTAAAGGATCAGGCTTCATCAACAAAGGAGGTAGCTCTTTTCATGCTGCATTACTCTGTTGCGAATCTCCTTGTCAGAGGATGCTGTGAATGTTAACAGTTGATGCTGACCAACAAAAATGAAAAGGTACTGCACACATAGAGAAGTAAAATCCCTCCAGGGCTACAACACCACATTTGGAAAACTGCTAGATACTAACGAAGTATTCTGGGGAAGAATACTTTCTTTCCTGGGTATTTACTATTGACTGATACTGATGATGGGACATGGGCTCAGCAGACTTTTGCTCTGAGCTGGTGTGGCTCCTCATAGATAACACTTAGCAGAACACCCATCAGCCAATCAACGCAAAATGTGCTATGAAGTGCATAGGAAGATGACAAATGTCCTGGATTTTGCAGCTGGAAGAGTCTGAAGATTTACAGGAGCTCTATGACTATTAGCTAAGTCACAGAATCATAGAATCGTCTAGGTTGGAAGGGACCTTTAAGATCATCTAGTCCAACCATCAGCCTAAATCTGATAAAAAACCCAAAAGAAAACCATACAAAAAAACCCCCCACATCACTAAACCATGTCTCTAAGCACTATGTCAACTCATTTTTTGAAAACCTCCAGGGATAGTGCCTCAACCACCTCCCTGGGCAGCCCGTTCCAATGCTTAATAACTTACTGAAAATAGGAATAAAATACTGTACTCATCTCTAGGGACTGTTGATTTAATCTTATAAATTCTTCCAGCTACTGCTTTCTCTCCTCACATTTCCACCTGCTACATGTGCTCTTTTCTGTCTCCCCTTTACACAGTTGAAACTCAAGTCAACTCATGCGCTGGACTGCAAAAAAGCTCTTAATCTTTAAAGCATGAAGTTTAAATCCTGGGCCAATGGACCCAGGATTCCCAAATCACCCAGCTAGTCAGCTCCAACACAGTACTGCAAAAAACACAATGGAAGAGGAGGAGACTGGAAAGAACGAGTTAGTAGCTCAGAGCACCTCTCGCCTACACTTTCATTATTCCACTCACATGCACGACCTCGCAGCACACAAGGATATCAGCCATTAAAACCGGCCTCAAAGAAACGACTCTGAAATGATTCACAGGTTATTTGTGCTTCCCCGCTGCTTCGGCACTGCTTCCTCAGCAGACACCAACTCTTTTAATAGATTCATGCAGGGACAGAAAAGGCACAGTGATGAAGGAAAATGTTTGGCTCAGGGTGTCTGTCATTACCAGCTCCTGAACGTAGCTACCTGTCGTTCAGCAATCTATGATTCAGCCCGTTAGCCTGTGCGGAGTTTCTCTCCCCAGGGTGCTTTAGACCCAGATTTTTGTTAATTCTGATTTTTGCTAGTTATACTCAACAGAAGCTGAGGGGAGTCAAGGCAGGGGAGCAAACAAATTTTGAATGATGTCCCTTTTTATGCAGAGAAAACAAATTCAATGCAAATTAACTCTTCAAGGTCTTTACTACAGCCTTTACACACTAGAAATACTGGGGAACAAAGGAGAGTTCTCCATTGGACATGAAGTGCGCTGGCAGATGCCATCACTGAAATCAGGAAGAAAAGTCAAAAGTCAAATGAGCAAGGTACCTAGGACATTAAGTCATAGCACATCAGGTGCTACAGCTAACCTCCTCCCAGCATACACTCTTACCCTGTGGAAATGTGAGGCTGTTCATGGATCAAAGAATAATCCAGACTGTACTAAGTCCTTTCAAATTTCTGAAGACCAAGATTTTTAAAGAAGCAAGAGGAGAGACTGGCAAAAGGATGTTACAGGAATGGCTGTGGATCTGGAGACTGAGCTTATGTCAAGAAGGGTACTATCTTTCCTGGGAAAATTTAATTCCTTCTGTAATTCCTTATCTCAAGCGGAGCCTTCTCCAAGTTTGGATGGAAACGCTCCCTTTTTTGTTGGGACTTGAGCACATAAGGAGCAAGTTCAGATCTGGTTACTGGCACAGGCTAGGGCTACACTGAGACTATTCATACGTTGGGATTTGGGTTGACCAGGTTTTCTCTACAGTCTGGAGAGAAAGATGCCTGTGACGCATCTAGCCCAACAGCATCACACCATGACAATCTCTTTGTTTGCATGCTCTTGCACACCACAAGTGATGCTAGCTATCACATGGCAGCCAAATAGGAAAAAAAGGAAAAGGAAAAAAAAATTATTTGCTTGGCCAACTTCTGAAGAAATAATACATCCACTGTTTATGGAACCATTTGCACGTTTGTCCCCACAAGTCTGACAGCTGCCAGGCAGGTGTGATGTGAATAAGCAAGAGCCAAAGCACTTTTGCTCTCTAGGCAGGAAATGAAGTGCCTCCTCTTGCCACTATCCCCTTTTTTATGATACTGCAGAACATGACCCTGTCTCTGCTCTGGAGAATGGCAAAACTTGGAGGAGGGGAAGCTCCAATAGTTACCATCCTGCCAGAATTTCTACCATGTGGAGTCTGACCTTGCAGGTGTTCCTCTGGTCAACGATTCAGCAACCCTGTGTTCCACAGCTCAGACAGGAGAAACTTGCTAGTGATTGTAGCAAAATGAAAAGGAGGAACCAAAAATACCACTGTTAGGACATTGTATCCTTCCTCCTCCAGAATTAAATCCCCAAGCCAGCCTAAGAGTCACAACTCATTTATTCTGGAGACTGCAGATGATAGATAGCACTGAGATCCTGCTCTGTGCTGCAGAGGTCTCATGCTTGGATAACCAAGTGCAACACTGGTGAAGCTGGCAGGCCTAGAAGTCTGAAGAATGAAAATGTGTGATTTATATTAATACCAAGTAGTCTTGTATCTTCAGAAACTTCTCCTTGGGGAGACAGACTCTGGCTAGACTGGAGTTCAGGATAGGCAGAGGATTTATCCTAGTTCATCAGCGATCTGGACGCTGCAGGTAGTAATGAACTGGAGAGGAAAAATTCCTCTGAAAGACTGCTATGCACCTATTCCTCCAAATATGGATAAACACATTGTCCTTGATTCAGAGGTGTACAGAATTTCATGAACTAGCTGAAAAGTTTGGTGCTGTAGACAAGCTGCTTAAAATGCACTTGAAATTTGCAGTGATCTGCCTTCAGACAGATCTCAGAGTACTCGGTGTAGAGGCAGCTGATTCGCCACCTGGATGCTCTTGCTCAAGAGCTGAAGAACAGTTTCCTCAATAAAATTATGTTAAATTTATCGCACTCTAGAATACAGGGAAGTCCTAGATGACTGGAAGGATATCAAGGCAATGCTACTATTACGAGGTATTGGCAGGCTGACAACAATTTTAGGACGGCATACCTGATGTTAGACCCAAATACTTATGGGAACACATGAAAAAAATTTAGAAGAACAAGTGTCATAATTGACACTGATCAGCATGGTTTTATAAAAATCTACCTTGCTCACACGCTTGATGTCATTCTTTGATGTCTATAAATTGGCAAAGAAAGGTAACTGCAGAGGTGTAATAAACTTAAAAGTTTCTGAAGCAACTGACACGATACCATGCCAATATAAAACAAAACAGTGCTATATCACATCAACATTATGGTCTTAATTTAAAACCAACTGACAGTGCTCTAAGAACAAACTAGCAATGTACAATCATCGCCAAATAGAGTTGCTTCTAACAGAGATCCACAAGGAATGGTCTGAAGTTTTATCAATCACTGCAACAGATACTTACACAAGTAAATAACTGCAGACAGTATAATCTGGCAGTAACTGGGGCCCAAACAAAATGAGTTTCATATAACCAGGTACATAATCCTAAATCTAGACATAAAGGCTGTGTAAGTGCAGAACCGGATTATGCTGAAAAGTAGAGACACTTAAAAGAATTCAGTGGCCATATGAGACAATCCAGTATGGGTTCTGCTAGGATGTTGTGGCAGGTGCACACACAGGGATAGTAAACAGTAGCAGGGATATAATTTTACCATTGCACAGGGCTGTGGGTAAACCTGAAACTGGAACATGCAATTCTAGAATTCATTTTTAAAAAAGGATGATGAACTGATGTTCACTGATGGCGCAGACATTTGGAGAAAATGCTTTACAATGGGAAATGAAACAATTTGTTTAGCATGACTTTGTAGAGTAGGGTAGATGGTTGGACTCGATGATCCCAAGGGTCTCTTCCAACCTAGACAATTCTATGATTCTATGATCTTAAGTATACAGTAGTGAGCTTATTACAATCTATAAAAACTCTTTGGAAAGAAAACGTGGGGGAATGGAAGACATTTTAATTGTATAGGAAGTCATAGGAAAATCCAGTGATTAGCAGTTGAAACTAGACAAACTTAAATAGGAAACAAAGCATATCTTTTTAACAGCACAAGTAATTAAATAATGGAACAGAAGAATATGCAATAACGTACTCTTGCCAAGAACATGTAACCCGCCTCAAAAATGACGCAAAGCAAAATTTCAGGGCCTGTGATACACAGGGAGGTCAGAGTTCCTCTAAGTTCTTTGGAACTAAAATCAGAGGTGCCTCTAGATTTGATCCCAGCTCCCTTAGTTCCTTTGAGAGTGTTTTTGTGGTTGCATGTGTGACTCTTGTTGACTATGCCAACAATATGCTCTTAAAAACCGTGCCAGTTTCTTTACCCGCTTACCTCCCAAAACATCTCTCTTTGGTACTCACGGCTTCCAACCTGTGAACTCCGAACCCTTGTTTCTTTCACCCCCAACCTATGCCTGGCTCTTTTCTTTCCACTCCATCTGAGTGTCAATCCTCAATTTGCCTGAAGTTAGCCTGAACTTGAAGTCTCATATATTACTTTCACTGTAAGTAGAAACTCTGAGTGAACTCTGCAGCTTCCCTGGTGCAATCCTGCTTGATCAGACATACAAGTCCCCAACAAACAGTTGAACCCTTCATTCAAACAGCTTAGATCAGTAATTGGCTTTACATTCTTATTGTGAGGTGGTGGCTCTTATTGCTTTCAAATAATTAGCCTAAAAAGGATTTTAGTAATTTTCTGTATTTACCCTGACATATCTTGCATGTATATTTCTGGAATACTTCAGCCAGCCCCCCAGAGTACCATCATCCAGTTTGGCTGGCCCAGTACAATTGAGATTGATGCTGTCTCTATTGCTAAGTATAGTCTTAGGGAGAATTAGCCTTTTTTTTATTAGGAAAGAGATAAAGACCCTGTCACAGGGATTTATGATCACTGAGGAAATATAAGATTCAGCTTCCTGGTTTTTCCCCACACACAGCGGATTTGGAGAGATGTGACAAAGCAGGCTTTAGTCGAAGCACAACATCTGCACTCAAATGCCCAAGTTTTATCCAAAAATCTAGATAATAAGGCCCAAAAAGCAGCTGCTAATGGCAAAAAAAGATAAAGAAACTACAGTACAAAGATCTGCATGCACACACAATCTAGCCCACTGTGCAAATTCCCATTGATAAAAGGCAGAGAGAGATCTCAGCTTGGAGTGCTAAAGAAATGTAAGTAATGTGATGTAACTAAAAGCCACGTGGTTCTGCAATGTATCCCAGATCATCCCTGAAGAGTTCTTAAAATGACAGAAGCAGACTTCTGAAATATCAGTGAACTAGCCCAACCCGTTTGGGTAGGGATGTATTTGTGCACTCAAAGAAGCAAACAAGTGAGAGCACTAAGAACTCAGTCATCAAACACCAGGTAACACCAGGTTCAGTGTAGAAAAATAAGACCACTTAGAACTCAGAAACAAAACTCAGCTTCCCCAAAACTTTAAAAGAACTACTAGACTTCTGAGGAAGAAAATATCATTCACCACAAGAAGTCTGTAATACAGATTAAAAAGTATATGCTTCAGTTGAAAGGCAAATGGAAAGCGAATACAGACAGTGGTGTACACGAGCAGCCAGCCAACTGCTCTGTGTGCCATACCAGCTTCTTCTTCATTTATAAATGGAAGAACAAACACAACCAGAGCTGCGTCAGGTAGAAGAAGGGAAAGTAGTGAGTAGGTGTGAGAAGTAAACACAAGAACTTATTATCTGTATGCAGGGAACAGAAAACAATGGGGAACAAAAAGCTTCCTGAGCTTCTGTGTTAGTATGACAGTAGAGGAAAGAAACTCTGGATTTGTGGGAGGGGTATGCAAAACCATTTATGAGGAGTTAAGAAGTATTTTAAGGCTACATTGGATAAAGCAACTCTTTATTGAGAAATCAAGCGAAAAAAGGCACTCTGTAAGGACAGAGGCAGTTAAACATGTGGGCTGCTTGATTTACACAACTTCCGTGCAGGTTGACAGAAGGATAAAATAAAATCCTACCCTGCACACAGAGAAAACTGGAGGCAGGGGAGGAGGAAGGGAGGGTTTGGGTTTGAAAGCATTCATGGGGAGCAAGATATGAAGGCAAATGGAGAAAATGAAACAAAATGCAATTCAAAAGACACGCTTTGCAGTGTGCTCAAGAGACAGAACTTGGTCTGAAAAATTTACGTTTATAAATTTTTTAACCTAGTATAAAGGACCCAATCTCAGCTTGGATCAGCCAGCCATAGCTTCTGACAGAAGCGGGGCTTGGATCAGCCAGCCATAGCTTCTGACAGGAACTATGTTAGATCAGCAAGCATTTGTAGCACACACAGTGGCAAGGAGCAGCTTACTAAATCCGTTTCTTTGTCACATTAGAAACATGCATAGTTTGGGCAGGAGGGATGGTGTGACGCAGTGTTTGATGTTTGGGAGAGCGTAGCAATGCATTCTAGAATAAAAATGTGACAAAGGTAGAACCTCTCTCCAGAGTAACATAATGTTGGTTATAACAAAACTGTCTACAAGGCAAAACCTAACGAAGACCAAGACACAATCTTAAAATACTTGGACTTTTCTACATGACTGCAACTGCACTGGGGGAAGCGTAAGGATGAGCTCAGCTAAATATTCTGAACCTGCCTTAACTATCTTCCACCTGATGAATACAGACTTCTTAACAGATCTCTTGCTTCAAGTACTGTTTCTGGGTCTCTTGCCTGGGGAGCAAAACTGGCTTTCACCCGCAGAATAAAGTTTCTCCAGGCTCTTGGTTCATCTCTTCCTTTGCTCTTCCCTGATCTCCCTTGGCTGTACTCAAAATATTTCATTAGTGTCTTGTTATCCTTAATGTTTGTTCACCTGTCTGAAACTGGCTTTGAGCTGTGTTTCCAAAGACTGCAGGAGCTGTAGCAGGGAAGCGGAGGAGCTGTAATAATCCACAGATCTTGAAAACAACCAGAAAACTGCTTGGCCAGCAAATTAGCTTTGCACAACCTCAGTAGAGACTATTAGGTGGAAGCAGGGAGAAACAGGAGACCAAAAAAAGTCTCACAAGTTCAGCCCCAGGAGGCATGTAAAAGGAGAACTCTTTTGGGGGATTACAAATAATTATTACAACTAGAATATTATACTGTCATGTGAAAATGAAACCTAGTTGTTCATATAGCCCATAATCTATGACTATTAGACAAAGGAATTATCCATCTATCTACAAAGGATGAATGAGGGAAGGGCTATGCGAAACAGACCTTCTGTAGAACATCACAAGCATTTCCAATGAGAAAGGCTCAGATGCATTTTCACACTTGGAAGTTTGATTAAAACAAGCAACAACTAGATTTAAACCCAGGAAAGCAGCTATTCAAAAAAAGCAACAATCTCTAAAATATCTTAGCAACAATTTTTAAGTTCTGCCTTATGTGCCATTACTTATTCACTTCCCCTTCTGGTCTACTTCTAGTGATGTAATTTTTTGTTATAATTGAGTAAATTTAAACTGTCTGGCAAATTTCCTTCCTTCCAGTCAGACAACTAAGAAAAGAAAGAGCCATGATACCAACCCACATACACGTTATGCTCTCTAGTCTGCACACTGTCTGAGAACAGTTGTCCTACCACTTGTGTTTTAATAGCTGACCAAGAAGAAACCCTAAGAATAGCTTTGTCTTTTAATCTAATCGAGTGCTAACACATGCTTAACAAAGTTATTTATAATGCCCTTTCATTTCCCAGCATAAATTACTTCTCTTGGGGGCTGTGGACTACTGATAACAGTAGAAGTCCTGACCAGTGGAATCTGTTTCCATCCCTAAAACTCATCAGCTGTATAATGCTGAACACGTCTCTCATGGGTGCATCTGTTCTAGCAGTTGCAAAACAGGAATAACTGCACACACACCCCTAAGTTTACAGGGACCTAAAAAAATCAATTACCATTTGAAGTGTTTCAGTACCTCGGGATGCAAGTGGCTACCAAAGGAAAATTACGTAGAATTAATTTACTGACAGATAATTAATACATTTACCTGTGTTGCCTCCCAGCCCCACTGCCTGTACTTGGGATCGTGGGTGAATCTCCACATATACCAGTAGGTCTCAATCACCTCTGGTCTTAGGATGTAATACTTCTCATTCTGCCGTACTGCCACCGCCTCTACACCACCATCAAATTTGAATGCTTCTGGACCCAGCTTTAATGCTGCAGAGGAAAAAAAAAAAAAAAGAGAGAGAGAAAAAAATAATTTATTCCTTACCAATCTTTGCAGGAAGGGTGGCTAGAAGATGGCCATATCCCAAGTATGTGAGAAAAGCAGAAACTAGCTCATCTTTAAGCAGTCTCATAAATATTTCCTATTGTTGAGGCCTATAATTTTTCTTATGAATAATTTATTCAATTCCTGTGAGAAAACTACCTATCTTGACAAGAATACAGTAATCCTCTTGAAAATTAATGAAACACTAAGAATATAAACACATTAACACATTCAATCATAGTATAAAATTAAAGTGACCGCCATCAGTTCTTTACAAGCAAAAGAAAAGAAGTAGGGTCAGTAAATGTCTGGATGCCCTTTGATCCCACCCAACACAGTAGCAAAATATCTTTTTTTGTATTTATAAAATATCTATTTTTGTTTTTTGAGGCGGTATCACCGCCTCAAATAACCTGCATCTTCATCCAAACTCTCTTGGTTTAGGGAAGTGCTGTCAGGCCACCATAACTGATGCGCTTTATAATGTACCTGAAGAAAAACTCTCTATATTATGAAAATGCAATTACATGTACTTTTTTATTATACAGCTACACATTATTCCTCAAATTTGACACAAATAATGCGCTCTTATCTGCAGCTGCCCCCCGCCCTTTGCTTTGGCAGAGAATTTTTGAGGCACTGAACTCTGAAGCTGCACTTGAGCTCTAAAAATTATCAAAGAGATTAATCACGTAATTCCTAAGGGCTAGAGGCTCAAATTAACCAGTCTCATGAGTTTGAAAGGGGAACCTTAGAATACTACATATGAACACCTCCCCGTGTGTGCCCCAGCGGAAAAACTCCAAAAAATGTTCCTTAATATTTTTGTTTCAAGGGAGTATGGCTCTGGATGCAAACACAAAAAAGCACCATGCTTTTGTTCAGCCACACACATGATAAGGAAAATGCCATCAAGAAATATTTAGGATAGCTCTTTCAAAATGGTCATTTTACCTGTTTCAGTAAAAAAAACCCCAATAATTTCTACTCCAAAATAAATGAGATTAGATACAGACTTCTACCTATCCAAAATTAAGCAGGATGGCCATACTGCACCAGATGAAAGTTCGTCTGGTCCAGTATCACCTCTGCAACAGAGGTCAAAATCAGACAAATATGGGGAAGTGGAAGAACTGCCCAAGTATATATGATACCTTTTCCAGCTTCTCTGCCAGTCTCCAATTTTTTTTGAGCTCAAGGCTTCTCCCAAACTAGACATACTTTTTTATGTTGTCAAGTAATTCTTCATAGATTTATTTCTCAAGTACTTATCTGGTGTTTCCTTAAACCTATGTACGCCTTAAGCATCCAAAACAACCTCTAGTGAAGAGTTCCACATCGCCACTCTCCTGTGTAGAACCACTTTTTTTGTTCTTTTCCATTTTCAGCTTGGTTCCTACTAGACTCATTCGATAGTCCCTAGGTCTTCTCTTGCTGAGGAGAGTGAACAACTGATTCCTAGTTACTCCCTCCAGTGCCCTGATGATTTTTGGATTTGTGTTGTATCCTACCTAAACCATCCTTCTTCCACACTGAAGAATACATCTGATTCAGTCATTCCTTGAATGAAAACTATTCCCTACCTTTAGTTTTCCTTTTAGCAACTCTGCAACTCTTTCAGCTCCACTAAATCCTTTGTGAAATGCAAGGGCCGGCCTGAATACAGCACGAAAAGTGTGGACAAGATTAATATGGTGACATAATGACATCTTCTATTTTGTTCTTTCTCACTTTGTTTTTCCTAACTGCTACTGAGCTGACATTTTCATAATCTCAAGAGCAATTTCCTGAGTTGTAATGGTCAGTTAAGAGCTCATAATTTTATGTGTGAGGTTAGGAATAATTTTTTCATAGGTGCTTCACTTTACATTTAACTACACTGAATTTAATTTTGTAATTTATTATGCAATTACTCAACCTCATAGGGTCCTTGTGCAATTTTTCAGCTTTCTTTCATCCTTGCTGAGTAGCTTTTTTAAAAAAAGTTATTATTAGCAGCACACTCACCTTACTTTTCTACCCTTTTCCTGATATATATCTATGTATGTATAGATAAATTTATGGTAGATATATTTTATTTGTATATACATAGATACACATGTTAAAATATAAAATGTAAATAGAATATACATTTATACATATAGATACACATATGTGCATAAATACATATCAAATATATCAGAGTACCACTGAGTAACCACTATTTGTCCACTGCAAGAACTGACTATTTATCTCTGCTCTATTTGTTACACTACTAACATTTTTTTTTTTTTTTCTCAATGCAGGTACTTACTACTTATGCTGTAGCTCCTTAAAAGGCCTTAGTAGAAAACTTTTGAAAAAGCCTTTTGGAAATCAGGTAAACCATGTCAGCTGTATTACTTTGATCCACCAAAGAAGCTAGATTTCAGGCAGTTCTGGTGATGCATCACCTACAGAAACTGTGACACCTTCTCTTGCTTTGTACCCTGCTGGTGCATTAAATCTTTAATAATTTACTCATATCTACTTCTAATGTTGTTGGGCACTCCAAGAAATGATACCACCCAGAGGATGGGTGACCTTGCAGATTGTGACAATCTCACTGAATTTTTATCTTAACCCAAGGATGCAAAATTAATCACTTTAGTAGTTGGCTAAAGAAGCTACTATGAACATAGTACCTTTCGGGGGAACATTCTTCTAAGAAAAGGACCATCTAAGGCCATTTTACAATGCTAGGTCACTGTTTAATGCAGTTATTTTATCATTAATGGGGCTGATAGCCTGTATTTCTAGTCAGGCAGAGCAGATGAGAAACAATTTCATACCATAGTGCAAAATTTCAGACCTAAACCAGTACCATTTTAAAAAGAGATTTTAAATGATTTAAAGTTGACTTCAAAGAGAGCTGTATTTAGCACTGCTGAAAATAAGGGCAAATCCTCAGATTTCTAGATAAACATCTATATATCTGGTTTTAGAAATAATTTTGAAAACATCAATTCATTTTTTTGTGGGTTCCTTTAAGACTTCAGTCAATCTAGCAACAAATTTCCTGAAGGTAAGAAAGGATTCGTAATTATAATAATACTTTCTAGGTTCTAACTGTCATAAAATTTGAGGAAGACACCCTCCAAGATACTTTTGTTTGAGACTCTCTGAACCGTTCCATCAGCGCGCATTGTTATTTTACACTTCTCGCAAACACAAGTAATTATTCTTATCATCTTTGCTTGTTTAGCTGAGTCTTGGGACAGAGATAGCACCTACTCATACCCTGACAATGTCTCAGCTGAAATCTTAGTCATCTGGCATATTCTGCATTGGAATTGTCACATGTGAAAACAAGCAAATGCTGTACCCAGATTCTGAGGACAGTTCCTGTCAGAAACTTTAAAGAAATGCAAAAAACTTTATCCTAAAATGATCTGCCTGTAGTCAGTCAATACTTTACATATTACCAGCTAATGTCTGGGAAAATTCTTATGTATAAGGAATAATATTTTACTAAAAATACTTTGTGCTGTAAATCAGCACATGCTGCCAACCTGTATAAGAAATAGTGTGAGCAGCAGGACTAGGGAAGCCATCATCCCCCTGTACTGGGCACTGATGAGGCTGTACCTCGAGTGTTGTGTCCAGTTTTGGGCCCCCTACCATAAAAAAGACATTGAGGTGCTGGAATGTGTCCAGAGAAGGGCAGTGAAGCTGGGAGGGGTCTGGAGCACAAGTCTTGTGAGGAGCAGCTGAGGGAGCTGGGGTTGTTCAGCCTGGAGAAAAGGAGGCTGAGGGGAGACCTTATTGCTCTCTGCAACTACCTGCAAGGAGGCTGTAATGAGGTCAGGATCAATCTCTTCTCCCAAGTGATAGGATGAGAGGAAACAGCCTCAAGGTGTGCCAGAGGAGGTTTTGACTGGATTTTAAGAAAAAATTTCTTCACTAAAAGGGTGAAAGAAGTAGTGCATTTCTTCTGTGAAATTCTGTTTTGATTTTGCTGAGACCGGTCCCTGAAATAGCTTTTTATTGTGTCATTCTCAGCCATTATGGAAATTTAGGTCGCTTAATAAAGTAGTATTTTTACACTAATATATTATAAAACCAGGCATATACTGCAGTTTATTATGAGCAATAGTGGGAAGACATAGGAATGGACAGTTCTGGATGGTTTATATGAAGAAAAGAGCTCTCCGTCCTCAGTGCCTTGCTGTCTCCTCTGGGGACACCAAATTGGACAAGAATTCTCCCAACTCTACAGAAGAGAGAGATCAGGCTCTTCCCTTCGCTGACTGAAACACAAATCTATCAGCTATCCAACTATCTGGCTGCTCTCTGAAAGACAGTCTTTCTGCAAATAGCTAGTCCTGTTATTAAAGTGTACAATTATTTCTCTAATATTGCTGTTAAAGCATAATTAAGAAGTTGCAATTGTGCACATAATGGATCTTTGTTTTCTTTGAAAAATTATTTCAGGCAAAAAAAACAACTAATGAAACAAACAAATACACATTACTTAGATTGCAAGACTGAACAAAGGAAAACTAGGACATTGCAAATTCATAGCTGTCTGTACAACTTTCAGTCTGTTTCCTTCATATGTATGTTCTTATATAGTCATTAAATATGTAACCAAAACTTTTATCCCCCTGTCTTTTGACTTATTTAGGGTACAGAATAAACATCTGAAGGAATAAAATTAGGACTGCTGCACAAACAACTGTAAATTCAGTATTGTTTGTTTTTAAGTGTCAAACATTCAAATGTTTAATTTCAATGTTCAATTTTTCAGAATGCAATAATAGTTATTATGTCCTACCTTTTTCCTTAATCATCCTCTTTTTTTTTTCTTTCCTTTTCTTGTTTTTTAAATGTTGTTGCTACCCAGGAAAAGTATCGCTCACAACTATCAAATCAAATTCTTTAAAATTACAGGCAACTATACAATACTATGTAGTCCTGTGAATAAATAAGTGAATTCTTATCTTAAAACTGCTTTTGAGTTTTAGTTACCATTACTTCCACTAGGAAGTTATTTCAGAAGCTCACTTCTCTGATGGCTACACAAAACCATTTCCAGTTTCCAACCCACATTTATTCACCGTGCGCTTACAAATCTTGCTCTTGGTACAACTGTGTTGTTTATATATTAAAATAACTCTATTTCTTTTCAGTGTTTACCCCTTGAGATGACAATAAAATTAATTCACTTCTTTGACATTATTTTACTAGTCTGAGCAGGCCAACCTCTCTTACTTTCCCACTGTAAGATAGAAGCTCTGTTGCTCTAATCATTCTGTTGGCCCTTCTCTGCATTTACTCTGCTTGAAATTCAGATTTGCAAAGTGTATTCTGGATGACAAATTATACGTGTCTTCTAAGGCAGCATTAATATTCTCTAATCTTTGCTGAAAATTCTTCACCTAATACAGACTAGGACTGCACTGGCATTTCTCAACTCCCCATTTGGAAGAAAGAGCTCCGGCCTTTTTTCTGGTGAACTTTTTGTTTCTGACAGTCCAGTCCTCAAGATCTCCCTGTTTACTGTTCTGAGACTCTTCTGTTTTAATTGTGTCTTATGACCTCATGACCCCTGTAAGTGTAACCAGCACACTCTGACTTCATGCATCAACATCACTATTAAAGATGTAAAATAAACCTGGTCCAAAAGACTGAACTTGAGAAACTTCCTGTCCAACAGTGAAGTCTGATATTGCCTCTTCACCGTTCAGGTCTTTGGCCATCGCACAGTTTGCATACAAAGCTTCATCCTCTCTAGTTTAATTGTACTTACCCAGAATGTACTAGTACTAAAAACAGTGAAAGGTGCATTTACAAATTTTTCACTTTACATATCTGTAAGAACAGTATACATGAAATGAAAAACTGCCCTATCTATCTGGGAGGACAAGAGTTCACACGCACTCCCTCCTCCCTGCGCCCGTATAACCTATCTTAGCTGACTGATCCAAAAATAGGGATAAACATGCAGCAAGGAACCATATAAAGTCTGGTATTACATTTACTCACTGGGATGCAGATCAGAAGCAAATACATGGATGTTAAAAAAGTTACACTGGTATAAAACCAATGCACGTTAGAGAAAGCATACAACCATAACAAATCTTAAAAATAGTTATGACAACTTCTGTATTTTGACTACTGAAATGCTTAGATTAGCAATGTATCTTACTTGTCCTGTCATATGACTCATGACACGTATGTGCAATTTCAGCTCCAAGCTGCAAATAATGTCCAGCTTTATCATCTCTGGAACCATCCGCTCCAAGGGCAAACATTCCCCCCGCAAAACAGGTCAAATGGCCCATCTTTCTTTCAAGGTGCCCATTCTTCCACTCCCCGATGAAGGTCAGTCCTCCATTGGACTTTCTGATGAGATGTTTTTCTATGGCCTACAAAAAGATTAAAAGAACTTTCAAATACTGTTTCACGAGCAAGTTTTACAAACTAATCTTTTTCAAATAATAGAATGCTGTTTTCAAAACAAAAAGAATTTTCTTCTTCTGCCAAATTCACTTCTGAGCACTACAGGAATGAGCAGCTATAAGAATATGCTTTCAATGGATGCAAAAAGATACCCTAATTGCTAAATGATGCTAATGAGATCAATCATAGGAAAATAATATTGCACTTTTAGCTGAGAATTCAACATATATTTTATGGCTCAAACAATGTTTGGCTACCTGTTAACTCTAAGAAAGGTCTATTTGTTCTGCTGTACAGTCTGTGTGTATGCAGAAAATAGATCCGTTTTGCATACTTTTGGTCAGCAACATATGTAAAGACAGCACCTGTACTGTCAGTCAACCTTTAATAGAAAGACACAAAAATGCTCCAGCCACCTTCTAGTTACTTCTCCATAGCAACTTTCTGATTGCACATTGTCAAAGGATGGGTGAGGGTTAGAACAGCTGTTCAGAAAAAACATTATTATTTTATAGGCGAGGTAACTGCTGCTTTTTGTTTGCACATTTGTACCAATATGTCTTTTTGCTGGTGATTTACAAATGGTATTCCTCTGGTAATAGGAAGGAGAATAGCTGACCTAACTTTCCAAAGTTTGCAAACTACAGGGAACAGCACACTTACTCATTTCTCTTTCAGAGAGGTTCAGAATCCCCACCAATCTACTGCAGTACCTACTATCTTTAGCGTTAGACAGTTTTTCTTGTAACTAGAATCTTGTTACAATTTGAGTCTTATAATTATAAAGACAATTATCTTCTTCGCCATGTAGACGTTATGCCTATCTTCTTTTCAGAAATGTCTCTTGTATTTCCACCCGTAACACTCTGATGGGTTTACAACTTCCTACAAAGTGCATGACCTGTGATTGGTCAGAGTACTGCAAGTCTGATCAGAACTGAAGGATTAAAGTGCCATTAAAAAGGTATTTACTACTCTCCTTGCCATCCACAAGATCTATTACAGAAATGAATTGCTTCATTACTCCATTACCTTTCTGGTACCTACAACAAATTACACCCCAAATGTCCATAACTGTGTTTATGGCAGAGGATCCCATATATAACTAAACCTGTTATGGAAGTCGAGGTCACATCTGCTGCACGCAGTTGTCTCTCTGCTATCTACACGGTGCAAACTGTGCAGTTCACTACAATACAGATTCAAGCAATAAACACATAATCAGCTTGCAACTGGTAATTCAGGTTTGAAAGTGGCCACTGAAATAGCTTTTCCCTCTAAATAAAAAGCGAGGCTGCCTTTTGTTTTCAACAAATGGACAAACAAAAAGCTTCAAGCTCTTCCGTGACTGTAGTAGGTATTTCAAGTTAACTTTCTTATTTTAAGCTTGACGCTTAAATGGCTAAGGATTGTTAAAGCAGCTGCACTGAATCCAGCAGTATTTGATAACATGCAAGTCCTCCATTCAGGTACTGAAATAACCCCTGACAGCCTTCCAAAGTTTTCTTCAACAAAAAGCTTTTCTAAAATTAAAATTATTGAAATTACAATTAGACAAGGCAGTTTTTTAGGATTAGGAGCCTCATGTGGGGAAGACGGCAGTTTTTTAGGATTAGGAGCCTCATGTGAGGAAGACAATAGAATCATAGAATCGTCTAGGTTGGAAGAGACCCTTGGGATCATCGAGTCCAACCATCTACCCTACTCTACAAAGTCCTCCCCTACACCATGTCCCTTAGCACTGCATCTAAACGGCCCTTAAACACAGCCAGGGATGGTGACTCCACCCCCTCCCTGGGCAGCCTGTTCCAATGCCCGACCACTCTTTCAGTGAAAAATTCTTTCCTAATGTTCAGTCTAAACCTACCCTGTTGGAGCTTGAAGCCGTTCCCTCTCGTTCTGTCACTAATTACCTGTGAGAAGAGACCAGCACCAACCTCTCTACAGTGTCCTTTCACGCAATTGTAGAGAGTGATGAGGTCTCCCCTCAGCCTCCTCTTCCTCATACTAAACAGTCTGTTTCTGAATATGTACGGGTTTCTGTGCAGTTTTCTGAGATGCTGCAGTGCTTGCAGCAGCTTTTCTAGACGGTTACAGTCATGTGAACCTACATCTCAGCCATGTAGTTAGTGAAGACCTGGCAGTCCCCATATGGCCAAGGTGGATGTACTAGCTAAAAGCCAGTGCGGTGGATTACAGGGAGAAGACTGCATTAGTGTCAGCAGGGCCCTGCTCCTTACTCGCACTGTGGACTGAGCTGTCATCTGGATGCTGGAATTTCTCCACCGTCCTCTCCTGAGCCTGTGTGTTCTGAAGGGGGTGAGAGAGAAGCACTGGTCTGCACTCCTGCTGGGCTAGTTTCTTCACTAATACCACTGACAGATCTGAAGTTTCTGCTTACAGCAGGATGTAGTGAGAAGAACGCTGAAATAACTGACAGAGCAGAAACTAGGAAGTCTCTGACAGCTGCCAGACTGGTTGTCTAACCATCATGCAAATTGGCACTGAGGATTGGTATGATACCGGGGCTTCTGGCCTGGACCATTCTACGATTCTGCTGCTGGGGAGCCTGATGTGGTTAACCACCCACACCTCATTTCACAACAAAAGTGTTCTGAAAGTACCTGTACAGGAAAGGTTAGATCTGCTGAAAATTCTGCACCTGAAGATAATACTAAGATTTCTAGCACTAGCTCTGTTGATTCAATTATCCTAGACTGTGACAAAACTGACATTATGATTCATCATTTCATTTATTTATGACCATAGGATTTTTTGGACCATATGGTACATAAAAGTTGAAGAGTCCTTTTTAGAGGAAAGCCACTTTTACTACGTGGAGCAAGAAGACTTAAAAGTGTTTGGACTGTTTATTTCCTGGAGGAAAACTTTTTTTTTTCCCCCAAATGTTCTGTGGAATTCCCTTCTGAATTGTATCTTTTTGTAATTTCATAACTGTTGCTTTTTTTTTTTTCCCCCAAATGTTGTGTAATTCCCTTCTGAATTGTATCATTTTGTAATTTCATAACTGTCGAGGAGTAAATGTTTCAGAAGCATTTCCAAGGGGACAAAAAGTGCTGCGGTTGGCATCAGGAGAGCTAGCAAAGGCCAAATTTATACACTTCTCCACGAGATACTCCTTCACGCTGGACTTGCTTTCAGAGTTTGTCTGAAGAACATCATCTAGATGCAATGTATTCTCTGTTCACAAGAGGGGCACATCTTCTGAACTTGAACATCACTGTCCTGTATATAGTTTTTGAAATCTGAAAATCAAGTTCTGTCAGCAACTTAATTATTAAGTTCCATCTTAACAGCTGCAAAGGAAGCATCCCCCAAAAGAAAATAAATGCAACCTTCTCAACATACTTTATCGTTCAACAACCCAGTGCTTGCTAACTGTATAAGAAGGACAATTAATATTTACAGTAATTAACAAGGAACAGCTGGGCATTGAAATGAAGTGTCCTGTACAGTGGAAGACTACAGTAATGTTATATAGCATGTAGAGGTCATGGATACAGATTTCATACTCTTATCATGAATGTATGTGGTAACCTGGGTAAGGCTTCATATGCCACAGACTGGAACTCATGACATCTGAAGAACAGATGCTGTCATCTTTCTTTCTCTTAATACCTCCGAGCATGGGGGTAACACTGCCTACTGCAAGACTTGAGAGTGAGGGTATGATTGTCTATCTTCCACTCTCCCCCCTGCAGCAAGCTAAGGGAGTGAATTGTGGCTGGACACATATCTTCTTTTAGACTGGTGGGTGCTGAGAACATTTCTAACTCTGTGCCGTGAGTGGGAAGAATGTATTTTACACTTTTCCCCTTCTGTTTGCATAAATGACACAAAGAGGTTTTGCTCCAAGTTTTGAAAAGCAGAGAGAAAGTAGTGTCAGCTATGGAGGAAGACCTACGTTATGGGCAACAGCAAAAGAATGGTAAAGCTCTTAAAAATATTTTGAGATTTCAAATAAAAACTCAAAATGCAATTATATATTGCAAATCCTACCCATTAACTTTTTGCCCATGTCTTTCAATGTTAAGTAGGATCTGGGCTAAACACAAACCCTGAAGCAGAAGGATGTTCCCCAATGCATAAACCACTATGGTTCATGCAGATTCAAATGTACACGGGTGAGGAAACCATCTGATGCTTACAATGGAGGTCATAGCACACATGAAGCAGGAGCAGCTCAGCTCTTTGTCCTTCCTAGCCACAGTGTGTTTTCATCTGGTCCCAAATTTGCTTTGCTTGTCTCCATTCAGAGACAGAGAATTGCCCATACAAAATGTTTGCAAGACTGGGCTCACAGTGAAGAGAATGAAAGGGAAAGTTAATTTCCTCTAATTTTAATGCGCTCACAGTTTAGGAATCAAAATAAAATATTTCAACAGTAACCACAATGGATGTTAAACATCAACTGCTAAACATTTTTAAACCATGGGACCCAATAAACTGTATTTTAAACTATTAAAGGTACTCAACTAACATTTTCAACTACTAATGTTGACTTTTAACAAAGCCTGGATAGTTAAGGAAGTTTGAAAGGACTGAGAAATAGCTGAAGCTTTACCCATATTTCAAAAGGATAATAGAACAATCATATAAAATTAATTATGTGGTTTCAAAAGTAAACGTCTGACTGACAAGGGCATGATGATATTATGAATATTAGGAATTTCAGGAATTTTTGTGGTATTGTACAAAATATTAGTCCTAAACAAATTCAAGACAGCACGTGTGGAGTAGATTAAAAATTGGTTTGCTAGAACAGTTCAAACTGAAATAAAAAATTGTGAAAAATCCTCCTCCCATGAAGATTCTGCAAAGATATTTTTATTCAATGTTAGGCAGCATTTCTACCAATAATCTGCAAGAAATAAATGCTAAAAAAAAAATTTGCAGATGACACAAAAATTGATGGAGCTATAGATAGTGATAAAGGAAAAAGTCAGTCCTGTAAAATCTTTCAGAACAGGTGACAAAATGGGTTTTGCCTGAACAATTGTGTTTTAATAGAGTTAAGCATAAGGTCACACATCGAGGAATTTGGAATGTAAATCACAGTAGCAGGAAAGCAGTAAATCAAAAGGATTATAACCAACTTCAGAGTAAAACCAACTGGGAAGTGGATGACAGCGCAAGGCAAAGGTACAAACCCAGGTCTTGGCTAGATGAAGAGGAGAATACTGATAAGAAATCAGGCAATGACATATTAGAAGAAACATTACATTCTTGTCTCCATACTGAAGACACTGGAAAACACTTAGAAAAAAGCTTATGAAAGAATTCAAAGCCTAGAAACATTACATTCTTGTCTCCATACTGAAGACACTGGAAAACACTTAGAAAAAAGCTTATGAAAGAATTTTATATTGTGAAAGAAAGAAAGAAAGTTTTATATTGTGAGACTGAAGAAAAATCATGCATTTCTCCTTCAAGAGAAGTACCTTTGTTAGTAACCAGCTACATGATGCAAATAACCCCTTAAAACAATGTAGGGAAGGAAAAAGTTCAAGTAGCTGAAAGCCAAAGGTAACCAAATTCAGGGCAGGAATAAGACATATTACAGTTTCAAAGCAGTTTCAGACTAGAACTTTCATTATATATCTCTTAAAATGTGAATTTTGAGAACTCTAAGAACAGGCGCTTTGCTTTAGGAGACTGCACTAAAACTAAGCTTTAAAAGCCTGTGTTGAAAGAAACACAGCATGCACAGAGCATGGAACAACTTCGGCACCAAGTACCTAAGACTTAGAAATAACAACACAGTCCCTGCTGCTGTTGGCACCACGGCTGACTTGACTAAAACTAGCTTGGTTACTAGTCTCTACAGGTCTTAACCGTAGCACAGGCATGTTGGCATATATGAGCACAAGTGAGCCTGATGAAATAAAGATGCCTGTATATGGGGAAACTTAAAAAGTAAGACCTGGGCAGCATAAAGCTCAGAGCCACCACAAAAAGCCCCCCAACCCCAAATCTCACTGAACCACCCTGCAGCATTGCTCTGTTTGGTCAAGCACTATTTGATCTGTGAGAGGGAGCAAGATCATATCACAAAATAACTGTAGCATAAGGAAGAGGCATGAACTACATTTTACAAGATAAATATGGAATATAACATTTAAATGTTTTAGGAAATAATTTTAAGAATAAAACAATTCAGGACTTCATATCCTTGAACAATTCCGAACACTGGATAAAAAAGACTTGGTAGTTCTGCACACATCTTAGAGGTTTTAGATCTCTTTCTAATAAACTATAGCTTGGGCTTTTACATCATACCATTTCGGACAAGCTGATTATTTTTAGCACAATAATCTGCATCAGATGTATTCCACAATAATACTTTTTAAACTACTCAGAGTGAAAGCTAGTATTATTCATCACTTGATTTCTTAAAACTTACATAATCAAAAGCTGGCCTGTGATTTGGTGTCTTTGTTTTTTTTTTTAATTATTAAAGATAGTTTTTAAGTTCCATTCTATTGGAAAACTCAATGAATTATAATCACCTCAATTGCATCGTCGTACATTTTCCTTGCTTCCGTGTCCGTCTTGTCTGACATAAGCCAGGCTTTCAATAAATATTCATAAAAACTGTCTCCCAGCCCGCCCACGGATGTGTGATCTGTAGGAGGGAAAGAGGAAAAAAAAAAAAAAAAGTTGAAGTTGTTACATAATAGCACCTTAAATTTATTCAAAACATAAACTTAAGTTTTTAAGGTCTACTGTCATAGAATTATGAATATTTTAAGCCTGTTTAGCAGAACAAACTGCACTGTATCCCCTGTCCCCTCTGAACTTAAACTCATAGGTGTGGAACCCGCTGTATGTGTTCACTATTTGTGACCCCACATAGGCTATCCCTCATATCAAAAATGTAGTTTAACCTCTTCCACAGAACCTAATTGTTTTGCTGCTAGGGTTTGGGATTTTTAATTTTTTTTTTTTTAATATATCTATAAAAAGTATATATAAAAAACCTGTAAGATCTCTGTATCTAGGATGTAATCAGGTCACGTGTGCAGCTCTAAACTGCCATGAACTACACAGGATCCAATCAATGGAAGTAGTTACTGAACAGACTAATGAATTCCTCAAAGTAAATGTCCTTATTTAAATTCTTTCAGTCAAAAAGGAGGCAAATTGCCTTTGTCATGTTATAACACAAGCCCGGAATTATTCCACCCTGCCTGAGCAGCCATGCAGAGCCTGGCCACGTGCTGGCTACAGGGTAAGGCTGCTTGACTATTAGAATCCACAACCACATAAACTGGACCTTCTAACATGCAGATTTCTTTTTTGATGCCTTTTTTTTCCTTGCAGAGGTTGCCTTTCACAAGCAGCATCATTGCCATTCTGTGCTGATAGGCCACATGAGAACTACCTACAATTTCTCTTTGGTGGAGCTATCATACATCCCCGCAAAAAGCCTACTGGTCTGACTCGGTCTTGAAGCTCCTGTTGCAACCGTGGTAAGAACTCCCTCAGCACACCCTTCATTCAAAAAGCAGTACGGTCTAGGAGATTTCATAAGAACCACAACAGCATATAACCTTTTCTTTCCCAACGTTACAGCCCCCAAAACGCCAGCACCAGAACAGTCCTTTTCTGCCGAAGGTAGGTGAAGGAAATGTTTAAGATCAACCTTGTCACCATGCCAGAAATTCACTGCCTGAAGCATGGCTGTTATAGTCATGCAAGTTCCCTTTCACCGAGTGGAAGAAAGAAAAGATATACTTCCTTTCCCAAAGTACCTCAAAAAAGCGGTATTATTCACGGTCTTTCTAGGGTAAAGGTGCAAAAGAGAGGTTGGGGCTCTCCTTCTGTTCCTTTTTCCTCCAAGCACCGTCCTGACCCAGCATGTCTGCTTGTCTCTGAAGATGTGACCAGGGGGTTGGAGCTGGTAGGTGCTTCCATCCTAATTCTTCTAGCTGCCTCTTGACTCCTCTGCTACTGACCAATGGATTTCTAGGCAAAGGAAGGAGCAAGTGGAAAGCCTGTAGCGTTCCCATTTGGTTTCAAGTTGTGAATTTGGAGCAAATTACTTCAAGCCCCTCTCTGATATCTCAGTATCTCCTAGACAGCCTTTTCACACCCAGCTACTCAAGGATTTAACTACAAACAATGAGTTTTCCTAAGTTTTCTAGCTCTGAGTTGTAAGAAGGCATGTGGGTCACGAGTCACTTTCCTCCACAAATGCAAGGGCTAGAAATTACTCCTTCAACGCACAACTACACTCTCAAGTAGACACGAGCACTGAGGGCCAATGGTTTTCAGAAAAAAAACCAAACCATCCCAAGACTTCAAAGTGACAACAACTCATGTCAGCATTACTCAGGGGCTGTCTTCACAAGAAATACAGTTTAAAACTACTCCTGTTAAGCTGCTGCCTCCTCCCCAGCCGAGCTGTGTCACTTGGGTCAACGCTGCTCCTCTGCTCGCTTTCTATCACAGGTCTGCTCAGTCCCCAGCCAGGACAGGATTGCTGAGTGTCCCTCAGCAGCCTTCATCTCGTAGCAGTTCAGTTCGGGGGAAGAAAAAGCAGGAAGATAAGTGGAAAATGTTTATTTCCTAAACAGAGAAATCCACCTTCCAGGTGAGTTTCCAAAGTCAATTATCAGAAAACACACCCCGTTTCACATCTACTCCTTCAAGCAGTCATTGGAGAACTGTCTTTCTCTCCTGCCAGCAGCTCTTCTCCTCCTCCACATTGCTTCTCATCTTAGATGAAAGTGCAGGGAACGCAGGAACCAGTAGCACTGGGACACACAGGACTCGGTGCCATCCCCCAAGGCAGCCTTTACTGCACCTTCTTCATATGTTCAGAGAACAGAGCTGCACAAGATACAGATCCTCCTCCCACTCAGCAAGTAAGAAGCAAACTTGATAAGGGTAAGGGCTTCTGAGGGCCTCACAGCCAGCAGCAGCAATGTTTTCTCTATTCCCATTTTGCATACCTCACTCAAACTCTGAACTACTAGGAGTTTTCAAGGCTCCTCTCTCATTAAACACTGGGGTCCACCACTTCCCAGTGAATGCCCTTCACAGATGGACCAGAGGGTGGACCTGTCCGAAAGGGCAAACTGGTTCTGTTCCTTCTTTTCAGCAGCAGGAGAAGGAGAGATGAAATATTTTTGGTGGTCACACATGATAAGACATCACGGACAGAGATGCTTCACCCAGGAGGGAGCAGTATTTCAAGGGAGCTGACTGCACTGAGATAACAGCCATCTTTATTTTCCTGACCCTTCCCCATCTGTAAAAAATACCAGAGAGAGGGTGGGATGAAAGGAAGTCATCACAGCACCTGAGCTGATTGTTTTCCAACTTCCACAGCTGCACTAACTGCACTCCCTGGCAAGATCTTCAGGTCTTCTGCTAGTGTCAGAAGGTGTTGCTAAAGCAGAATTTGCTGCGTTTTGTGTAAGGACTGTAACTAGAAATAGTTAGAAATAACTAGACTGAAAATTAAAACACTTCCTGTGATGCCTGCAGGACTTTTGACAACTCACTCTCACCTTTTGGAAATGCAAAAGAAATATTTTTCAAGATTCCTTAGCAAATATATAGCTTGTGAAAACTGCAGATTTGAGTCATCACACACCATTCTTCTCCTACAAACAAAGCTCCTGACACAAACTTATCATCAGAAGATTCACGGTGGTTTTCACCACCCTCTCCTGCTGTTTGAGCTACAGATCAGATGGATTCAGAGATTTCATTCCGCTCAACTCAAAATGTTTTGCTCATCAAAATGTTTTGCACGTAAAATATTTTGAAGTTTTTCAATCAGCCCTAACTTTGCATGTCAATCCAGAGTACCTAAAAGAACAACTCATGATTTGAATAATTGAGTTTACAATAGTGTCTGGGCACTGGGTACTCTTCAGTAGACAGATGCAAAGGTAAGTATTGTGTTTAAAGTGTTTGTAAGTATTCTGAAAATTTAAAAATTGATTTAATTTTTCACATATTTGATCTACAGGTACCATTTAATTAGCTCTATGTCATTTAAAGGTTTTTACTGTGAAGATGTATTTCACAGCGAATTCCTGAAGTAAAATTCTTTCCAGATAGAGACAAATATAGCAAAGAGAACAGAAGTATGAGGGCATATCAAATATGGCAGAAGGCACATATTTTGTTCATTGACATGTATACATTTTTAGAACAGTCATTTCTTCCAATTGAGACAAATTAAGACATTTTTCATTCCCCATTTTTTCAAATGTAGGCACCAGATGACCGGGCAAACATGAAAGGATTACAGTCAAGGATTCCTAGGGAGTCTTATTTTCAATTAAAAGGCACGGTAGCTACAGTTGCAAAGAATACCTTCAGCTATTGCAACCAAAAGCAATTAGAAAAAGCACTGCATTTTTTCTGGTTTGTCACACAGTTGGAAGCATGTTGTGTGCAAACCTGTGCAGTTCTGTTTGTAGGCTTCCTCCTTGCCAGAAAGAGACAAAATCTCAATAGAAAGACAAAGATATTTACAGTTTATAGCAACATTTTTGCTGAGAGGCTTCAAGAGATTTACATCTTGGGAAATACTGGCATTTTTCTTCTTAATAAGCAGCAGGCAACTGAAAAAAACCCAATCCATTTCATAGCAATATTTTAATGAGTTTTTAATTTATTGATAAAAGAAGATCTATATTTAGCCAAATATTATGTCTCTGCTAATATTAAAAAAATCCCATCAATCTTTCCCACAGACTGAGTGGAAGGGCCTTCTTTTAAATTCTCACACCACCATTACCTAAAATTTCTAAAGCTAGTTTGACTCCAAATTAATTTATTCGTATCAGCAATCCCCTAGCTGCTGAAACAGCCTCCCCTGACAAGAACCAGAACAATTATTTCACAGCAAACTGCAGGAACACACAGGAGGTCAGAAAGGAGCCTCCGTGCTATCTCTAACTGAAATGACAATGAATCTCAGCTTGAGATAAGAGGGAGAGCCTGTGGCGCTCCGGCGATTTGTTCTCTGCGAGTGAAATTGCTTCTTTACAAATGTGGGGAGACAAATAAACTTGTTTTTCCTCCGCTAGCTCTTCAGGGCGTAGGCAGCAGGGTTCCCCCTCCTCAATTACAGCTGAGGCACTGTGATGGGTCTGACTGTTCGTCCTCTCCAGGACTAATTTTTCGAGCGATGGTAGTAGGTAATACAGATACTAGGCATTCACATAGTTCATTCTCCATTCTCATACCCAGATCTACCTAACGGCTGTAAATAACTTCCTCCACAGCAAGCCAGTTTCTAAATGAATGGCAGTGGTTCCCAAGAATGCAGTTATGGCAGCAGACTGCACGTTACAAACACGTGCCACCCCTTTTGTTTACAGGGAAAGTTTGGTTCAGTGAGCGGGAACATATTTTCCACAACAACTGAAAGCCCCATAAAGATAACATTAATAACAAAACCTGCTCTAATGAAGGTCTACCTGCTCTCCAGGGCGAACTTAAGATGCGTAAATTATTTTTAAGCAGATGGCTTTAAGTAGTTAACAGCAACTTAACGAGGCAAATTAAAAACAGTTCATGATTTGCTAAACCCTCTCTGCTTTGTGCCTTAATTGTTCAATTGTCATTTCTTGGAAATGAGCAGGAGTCAAGAAGCCA